GCCCTCCGCGGCCCGGCGCCCTGCCCACCTGCAGCTGGCTCCGCGTATCCGGGCAGCGCTCGTTGTCCAGGCTGTTGGCTCGCTCGTTCTGTGGCCGCGCCGGCTGCCGCTCCTTCAGGGACGTGCTCCGGCCTCGGCGGCCGGCCTGCTTCCCCTCGGACCTGTGGGGGCCAGGACAGGCTGGGGCCGGCCCCCGTCCTCACTGCCCCAGCTCTCCCGGAGCCTTGCCCCGGGCTCAGCAGGGTGCAGCCCCCACAGGGCACCCAGCAGCAGCCCTGGTGCTGCACACAGGCACCTGCCACGGGGCTGCAGGTGATGGGGCCAACGGGGCCTTTCCTGCCCGTGGAGCAGGAACCCAGACCCGCCGGCGGCCACAGCGCGGCCCCATCAGGCAGCCAGTGACAGGGGTAGAGGGAGGGGGGTCGGGGCCGTGTGGGCCTCTGAGGGGCCCAGAAACCTGCGTGCCCCCCGAGTGGTTCTCTTCAGCAGACAGGCCTGGCGCGGGAGCGTCCACACCCCAATGCCGAGTCCTTCCCACACAGCACTGCCCGGCCACCCGCCTCCCGGGGCGGCCTGTCACCTGGTGGAGGGGATCACGAGGGACTCGGTCTTGGTGATCCGCCCGCTGGGCGGCAGCCTCTCGGTGAACACGTCCAGGGCGGAGGGCTCTGGCTCCGGGCTGTCCTCGGGCTGCGGGGGCTGCAGCGGCGGCTCCCCGGGGGCGGGCGTGCTCTGCGGGGAGGGAGGCGGCCGTGGGGAATGCGCGCGGGGCTCCGGCCTGTGGGCGCGTTCAGCCTCCCGTAGGCGGGTGGCTCCCTGCGTGTGGACACGGCCGCACGCGGCCCTGGGACTGAGCTGACCTGACACCCCACCACTGGCCCTGGTCCGGGCGCCCCAGGAGGCCAGTACCAAACCCCCAAAACCCGCCCCATGCCCCAGGACACCCTCCTTGGGAACCCCTGAGGGCAGCAGGAACCAATTGGCGCCACTGGGCCTGTGCCAGCAGCAACTCAGGGCGAGCCCACTGTCCACAGGTGGCCAGGCTCTCGCGGTGGTTCCACACTGGGTCAGACCCCTAAGGCAGCGCATAGTGGGCCTGCGCTCGAACGCTGAGCGAGCACGGCCGTGCGGCTTACGTGGGCCACCGGGTCGCAGATGCCGTCGCCTGGCTGCTTGCCGCCCAGGGCCCGCGCCTTCTCGGGCATGTCAGCCTGCACGGACGAGACGGGAGTCAGGCCGCGCGCCTCGGAGGCACCGGGATACGGCCGGGGTTTCACGGACGTGGGCCCAGGGCTGCCCGGGACAGTCGCCAGGGAGCACACCAGCCTGGCTTCCCAGCATCAGCGTGCACGTGGCCTGGTGACCACAACACGGCGGGAGAGCGGGGCACCCACCGGGCTTGGAGGCTCCCTCTGACTCCGGGCGCTGTGGATGCTGCCGATCTCCGTCTGCGAGCTGGAGTGCGACAGGCCTTCGAAGTACGGCCTGGGCGTGGGGAGAGAGGGGCTACCGTCCGGGACCCGCCCACACAAGGCAAAATGGGGCTCCTGGCAGAGCAGCGTCCCCAGAAGGCCCCCACTGAGCTCCTCCACAGCTATGAGGTGAGCCTGGGTCCCTGAAAGCCAGGGGCACAGGTGACAGCTGCACCCCACAATCCCGTCAGTGTGGGAACAAGGGAACCCACAAACAGCACACAGAGGCACCATCCACAAGAACCGGCCAACCCGGCTGTCCAGCCACATGCCCAGTCCCGGCAGACAAAGAACCGTGGAGGGTGGAGGCAACTTACAGACTCAAGGGACTCAGAGGACAGTTCACACTAAAATGTTGGGGGGCACGTCCAGTGTTTGCTGACAAAGCCACAGGGGACGTGGAAATGCGGGGGTGGGACCAGCATGAGGCAGGCAGGGTCGGGGCCCTGAGACGCTCGCCCCAGAACTGTGCACCTTCCCTCCTGGGCCCTCCTGGGATGGGCACCTTGCCTGGGGACCGTGGGAGCACCCCCGCCCTGCACCCTCAGAGCCGGCCCCTCTGTCCCCCACACCACTGCCCCGTGGGTCCCCGAAGCTTTCCGGGGTTCAGCCTGGATCCTGCTGTTCGCTTTCTCCCAGACGCCTGCTGGGATCCACACGTCCTGTCCTCCCCACCCTGGGCCCCCGGGCGCCCCCCACCTGAGCTTGGGCTTGGGGGTGCTGAGGACGCTGTCGTCATCTTCCATGTCTGGGCCGCTGTCGCTGGGGTTCTCCATGTCCAGCGTGTCGTACAGAAGGTCCAGGTCCTCCTCCGCCTCGGGGACATGCTCCGCAGGGTCCTGCTCTGAGTCCAGGACCTACGGCGAGAGCAACGTGAGGGCTCGGGAAGGGAGCCCACGGGACAGGGGAAGGGCAGAGCCACACACACCCTCCCCAGCTGCTCCATCAGCCCAGTCACCCCGACACCGGGCGATCCCCAGGGATCCCGCCCTCCTGGGCCCATGCTCGGCCGAGGGGAGCCAGCAGCCCACGGCCGGCTGCCACGTCCCTCATTCTCCGCCAGCAACCCCCTTTCACTGCCGGGTCGCAGCCACGGCAGGAAGGACCCAGGTCTAGCCCATCACGGTGGGCGGGCGTGGGGAGCATCCCGGCGTCTGCAGTTACACACGAAGCTCCAGGGGCCACCTGCCAGTCTCCACGTGCACGGCTTCCACCTCGTAGGCAAAACCCAGCCTCGCATTTAACCGCCTGAGGCCAGCCCCGTCCCGGGGGCCCGCCTCCTCATCACCTGGGGCCGCCTGGCGTCTTCGTGGTCCTCACCCGCGTTTCCTGAGTGACCAGGGTGCCAGGCCCCTCTCACGGGCTTTCTGCCCACCTGTTTCTTCTTTGGAGGACGTGTCGGGCCTGGCCCTCTGCCGCCTGTTCACCGGGCGGGAGTTTCAATAGGGCTGCCTTCCCGGGTCGGCCGTGTTCTCTACTTGCAAAAATGTCCCATTTTATAGGCTCTCATTGCCTTTTCTTTTCTTTTTTCAATTGACTGGGGGAGAGAGGGAGGCTGATGTGTTGCCCCACGTGGTTGCACATCACTGGTTGATTCCTGTTTGTGCCCTGACCAGGGATCGAGCCCACAACCTTGTCGTATGGGGATGACGCTCTGGCCAACGAGCCGCCGGCCGGTCTGTTCCACCTTCCTGACGGCGGGGGGGCCACCTTAGACCGTGACGCTGTGCTGCTCGCCTGGCAGACCCCTGGCTGACTCACGGCTTCTGCAGGTTGTAGTTTCGGCCCCTCCACGTGGCCTCTGATCCATTTTGTGTCGGCCTTTGGCAGGTGAGGGTGGGGCCGGCTTCATGCTTCACACGAGGACGCCGGTTGTTCTGCCCTCTGAGCTGTGAGAGCCGTTTCCCCACAACTGTCCCTCCCTGTGAGCTGGGCGAGCCGTTTCCCGAGCACTGGCCTCGTGGTGGAAACCGCTGCCTGGACAGGTCACTCACCTCCTCGGACACTTTGAACCTGCGCAGCAGGGCCACGACTTTCTGCTTGAAGTTCTGTTGCTGCAAGAGGAGGGGAAGGAATCAGAACCTGGGGAGCCACCTCCTGGAGGACCTGGGAGGCCGGCCGGGCCGGGCCGCCAGGCTCACTTACACCGGCCACGATATTTATGAGCTCAAATGTACTCTCGCAAGTTTAACAGGCATTTTCACGAGCATTTAAGCCACGGCTGTGGGCAGACTCAGAATGGACGGAGGAGGGGACCCTGCACGGTTCTCCCAGGAGCCGACACCTGCGGCGGCCGGGTCACTGGCCCCTCCCCAGGCCCCACCTCCCTGGCAGGACTCCGGCCGGGAGCTCCTGAGTGCTCCGCTCTGGCTGCTCTCGGCCACCCTTGAGGTGGGGGAACCCTGCAGGCGGAGGCCCATGCTCCCCGGCTCCCCAGTCACAGCTGTGGGGCAGCTGCACCCGACCCACTGGGACCGGCCGGAGCAGAGGCTGTGGCTGTGCGTGGACAGGGCGGGGGCAGCTGGGAGCAGCTGGGAGCTAGGGGCTCTCCCATGAGCTGGGGGGCCAGTGGGGACCTTCTGGGACAGGCTGAGGTCCCTGCCGGGGCTTCTTCCCGGAGAATTGGCACAGCCCCGCCGAGCTCGCTGAGCCATGTGGGCCGGATGCTGAACAGGGACAGGACTGGCCTCACCGGGGGCACATCTGGGCACAGGTGGGGCGGGGTCGGCACAGGGACACCCCCCCGACTCTCGCCTGCCAGGGCAGCTCTAGCTAAGGGCTGAGCACCACGCAGACTCCCCCAGGCCCAGGCCATGCGACCCAGGATGGCCCCTCACTTCCTGACCCTCCTGAGGCTCAACCTGCCTGCACCCCCAGGCTGGGTGCCCCCCCGCCTCCTCCAACATTAGTAAAACCAGGTTCCACCGACCCTGGTCATGGACGTGGTTCTCACTGTCGATCGCCGCTGCTGGGGCTTCCCTACGTCAGAGTCGTCTTCATCTAGGTCCTGCGGGGACACGGGGCGCCTGAGGCCGGGCGGCTGCTGGATGCCACAGGGCCCTTCCCTGTGCTGACACTGGGGGCCGTCGCCCAGGTGCCCCCAGCGCCGCTGATGCACTCGGGGCCGGGCTCCTAGCGCCCCACCCCCACCCTCCTGTGGCAGCTCCGGGGGTGCTGGGCCCACCCACTAGGGTCTCGGTGGAGCTGAGCCTGCTGCCGGGGCCCCGCCACACTACCTGCCCGTGTGCGGCGTCGTCACTGGCCTCCTGTTCAGAGGAGAAGCTCTCATACTCCTCCTCGGAGTAGTTATCTGCGGAACAGGCACACGGAAGGGTAAGGGCCACAGGGTTCCGCCTGGTGGGGGACAATGAGGCCAGGACCCAGTGACAGGCCCCAGCTGCGCAGGGAGCAGGCGGAGGAGCCTGGGCGGCCCTGGCAGGGGCGGGGGCTGTGCTTCTCCATCGACGTGCCCCCTCCACACCCAGAAGGCCCCTCGGCCCTTCTTGCCCAGCACAGGTTTCAGCTGGGATTTCATGCTCGACTGGGCCCCCGTCTGCCCCCTCACCCCACAGGTACAGTGACTCCAACTGTGACAGTGGTGACAGGCCACACCAGGACCCATACCCAGACCCCGGAAGGCACCACAGTCGGCCCCACGACCTCTGCTCACTGACGATGCCACGGCTCCCGAGGGCAGAGCTGGGATGCCCCGCAGCCAGGCCAGAGCAACCGCAAAGCTCAGGAGGACGGCCGGGAGGCGGCAGACAGGCAGCAAGTGGCACCGCCTGTGGCTGCACTCACCCGTGGCCTTGGCCTTGGGGCCGGCCTGCATGGTGCTGTCCTCGTGGTCGATGGGCTGGCTGGACAGGGAGAAGATCCAGATCTCGGCTACCTTGGCAGAGGCCTCCTTGACGCTGCTGCAGAGGCTCAGCACCTGGCCGCCCTCGGGGGGCCGCTGCATCACCTGGGGGGGGGCACCGTTCCAGAGAGGACCACGGAGCAGAGGCGTGGTGGTGGGAGACGTGGCCAAGGGTGAGAGGACAAGGACATGGGAGCTGGGTGGACGGGCCACGAGGGAGCATGCTGGGCCAAGCTGGGGTGGTCAGCGCCAGGCTCAGCCACTCGGGACTGAGGGTGGTCAGAGAGGAGGGTCCACAGCTCAGCTGCCCAGGGTCACAACAGAAGCAAACTGCGTGAAGACAGCAGCTCCCAGACAACCACGGCCCAGGGGGCGTAACTGCACGTATGTGAGGACCACAGAGCCCGGCCGCCCACCCGTGGCCCTACCCTGTGCCACACGACACCCACGCAGCTCCGCACCCCTGAGCACCCGACACCCCGAACAAGGCCCCACACGGTGAAGGCCCCACACGAGGGACACACGGGCCCCACTGCCCTCCCCTAGGGCCCAGGCGCGGCGCCCACAAGTCTGAGTCGGAGCCCCCAGCCCCGGGGCTGGCTCCCCTCCAGCCCCAACACCAGCCACCTGGGACGCCAGGTCCCCCGGGACAGGCGGTTCCACCGGGACGTGTTTCCCGTTTCCGCACCAGGGAACCCCTGCAGCTTCAGTCGCCCGACCCACCCTGAGGGGCCAGCAGGGCGGGGCACTTGCAGGGACGCTTCCTGGGAGGGCATCGGCCACCCCCACTCCGGGGCAGCAGCGACCGAGCCGGAGAGGGGCTGGCCCCTGCCCGGCGCCTCACCTCAGCCATGTGGATGGCACCGGCGGCCAGCGTCTTGTAGCCCAGGATGGTCCGGTTCTTATAGCGTTTCCTCCGCTGCAACATGATCTGCAGCTTGTTGCCCTCCCGCTTCAGGAAGTGGGGGTACTGCGGGGGAAGCACCACACGGCTGCCCACCGACCCCAGGCTCTGCGCACTCCAGGTCACGGGCCACCCAGTCCCCGGCGGACACTAAGCAACTGCTGGCGGACAGACGTGCGGCCTGCCGAGGGCGCCAGGGGCCGTTACCATCAACACGCTCTCCCCACAAGGCAGGTGGCCCGGACGGTCCAGGCCCCGTGTGTGCAGTGGGGTGGGGTTCACAGCCCCAGAGCTCGTGTGCAGGAGGAAATTTTTCACAAGTGTCCTCCGAGCTCACAGATGAAAACCAACCTCAAAAGTTAGGGGACAGGCCCTACGCAGGGGGCGCAAGGGCTGGGGCACTGGCCTGTGCACCAAGAGGCTGTGGGTTCCATCCCCGTCAGGGCACGTTTGGGAGGCAACCGGTCGGCGCTTCACTCTCACGCTGATGTCTCTCTCTCTCCCCCTTCCTTCCTCTCTCTCTGGAAATCAATTTTAAAAAAGCATGTCTTGGGTAAGGATTATAGGAACAAACCCGGGGTGATGGGACTGTCCCGCACCTGGGCTGGGGGGTGGTTACACACCTGTACACGTTTCTTGACACTCATGGAGCCATGTATTCAGAAAGCGTGAACTGTACATTTTGTAAATTATACTCCCCCCCCCAATAAAAAACGCAGAACCCAGATGCGCTGTGGCGGGCATGAGAGCTGGCGGGAGGGCCCGCAGGGCAGAGCCGAGCCAGGGCGGGAGGTGGGTCTGGGGGATGCGGGCGCGGGAGCTGGCGGGGCTCTCGGATTTCAGAGACCTCAGTCCTGTCTCTCGTGTGCACGGAGGGGGCAGCCGAGGTGGGTGTGAAGTGGACGGACACTGAGGGATTTTTAACGTTTCAAGCACAGGGGACAGCAGGAACCCCGTCCACGGGGCCTGAGCAACACAGGCCTTGGAGCAGGCAGGACAGCGCCCTGGGCCGGTGTGGGGATGGCTGGGCTCTGGACATGTCCAGGGCATCTGTCTCACTCTGGGGTGCCCGGTGTGAACTGAGCCACGCTGGCGGTCAGCACACTTCACAGGGCTGAGCTCCCACGTGCTCCTCCCCAGCTTTTCCAAACAAGAAGAAAAAATGGCCTTAACGGGAAACTGGAGTTCTCAACCTCACTGCCTTCTATCAGGAGCAGGGCATTTCTGAGTAAACCGCCCCGGTGACAACAGGGGGCGGGGACGAGGCCAGGCCAGGGCCCACCTGCAGCGAGAAGGTCAGAGCCAGGTCAGTCTCCACTTGTCCGCTGGGGGGCAGCACAATCTCGTGGGACCGCAGGACGCGCTTGGAGCCCTGGGGAGAAGGCGGCTCTCACTGGAAGGCGGTGTCTCCGAGCGACACCACCAGGCAGGTCGCGTCCCTTCCCTTCACAGGCTGGGGAGCCGGTGCAAGCTCCCACGGGCACGCGGGAAGATTTGTCTCCGACCCCCAAGTCCCCTGGAAATCTGCCTCAGAGCCGAGAAGCCCAGGAACGGGATCTACGGCCACTGCAGACACGTAGCTGCGGGCGGGCGACCAGACCAGGGAGGAAGCTGGAGACCCGGGCACCGCCGAAAACAGTGTGGGGGCAGTGACCGCCCCACAGAAGTCACCAGTTAAAACGCTGGCAGCGTCCCAGCCCAGGGAGAGCAGCAGACGTGTAGACGTAGATGGGAAAACACGTGTGGTCGGTCAGTGAGCCCCAGGCCAGTGGAACGAATTCCTTGTCCCGGAGGCTGAGTCTAAGGACTGACAGAGTCTAGGGCCTGACCATGGAGATGGACAGCTGGAGACAGGGGGTCAAGAAACAGGGCCCAAGTGTTGGGGGTCGGTGGTGTCAGAGGTCAACAGTGCCAGATTCAGAGGCCAAGATGGGTGGACTCCATCTGGCTCTGTGACCGAATGAGACCCTGACCCCTCCCCACCCCAAAGCCCAAAGCTCAGCATGACACCTGCAGGTGGGCAGGGCCGTTCCCTGGGGTGGCGGCCTGCGCCCCACACGCAGCTGGCTTTGATGCTGAGAACTTACAGCACCGTCTTTGGTAAGGAAAAGAATTTTTCAGAATTTTATTTAAAAGTAACATTTTAAGTGGTTGCAAATGACAGGAACAAGGCAGGCCTCCCGCCGCCCTGCTCAGATCCGCACTCGGCCTGGAGGGGAGCCTGGTGGACAGCCCAGGTCCTCCAGCGGCTCCCAGGTGCAGGCAGGAAGCTGGGGCCCTGCAGCAGCAGCCACGCTGGCCCCCAGCACCCACCAGGCTGCAGAAGGAGGTCCCAGGGCCTGGGACTGTGGGCAAGGCAGGACCTCCGCCTGCTGTTCAGCGGCCACCACACCCGAAGGAGCCTGTGGGCTGGCGCTGGGAGACGAGGACCCTGCTGTGGCCCACAGCTGGGGAGGTGGCCACAGGAGGTGCCTGCTGTGCAGCCAAGGCCACCTGGGAAGCAGACCTGGAACCCAGTGGCCCCTGAAGAGGCCAAGGCGAGCCACACGGCCAATGGGCCACCCAGTTAACGGGCCACACCGCTAACAGGCCTCCTGAAACCCTGTCACTTGTTCAGACTGAACAGGACACTGTGGGCTGGGGAGCGTCACTGCACCCAAGTGAGAGGCGAGAGCAGCTGGGCCGGGCCAGGGTCAGGGCTGCAGGTGACAGGCACAGGGTGTCGGCGCCTGCACTCGGCTCTGGGAGGCCTGTGTGCCCCTCTTGGGGGACAAGACTGCACCCCAGGAGGGTCGCAACCCTGCCAGATCATCAGGACTGTCTCCAGGCCACCTGCCCGGCAGAGGCGCCCGTTCCCTGGACACACTCGGCTCCAGCCGTCTGTGTAGCCGGCCTCCTCGACTTCTGGGCAGCGGGGAGACCCTCACCTGCATCTTCACGGCAATCACCACAGAGATGAGCTCCTTCTCCAGCTCCTTGAAGACTACCAGCTTCTTCAAGGTCAGGCTGCACAACCTGCAAGGACACAGATGCCCTCAGCAGCAGCCTGGAGCCCCAGGAAGGTCCCAGCCACGGCTGGGCCACCACCGTCTGCCTCCAGCACCACAGTCACCGCGGCAGGCCGGCCATCACATCTTCTGGGAGACCTTGCCCCCACCCAGACAGGCTGGGAGCCACCCTCGGGGTCCCCGCAGGTGTTGAGCACCCCTCAGCACCCCCAGGCAGTCGGCCGGGTGCTCCTCTCCAGAGGGTCCCGGAGGTGGGTGGGTGAGGGCCTGTGGACAGCAGAAGGTGGACCGACCAGCGAGGTCCCCAGGGACCAGGATGCCGGCGCCCCCACTGTGAAGGCACCAGCCTTCCCGCCCACCTACCAGCCCTGCCCGCAGCACTGGCTAGAAGCCTTTCTGAACCCTCTGCCCACCAATTTCACCTCCACCCGTCTGTTCTGAGCCCCACAAGGTCAGGACAATGGGTGACAGCCCTGAGGGACAGCCCGCGGGACACGGCATTGCCTTCACCTGCCTCGCTGCAGGGTCTGCCCTGAAACCAGCGGGTGCCATCCCGGGAGGCCGATCTCCCGGAAGCCACAGCACAGCCGGATCCCCAGCCGGCCCCACGAGGACAGGGACCGAGGAGCGAGGGCCCATGGTCCCGCACAGTCCCGCGCCCACCGCCAGGGGCCCGGGCTGCAGGCCTCTTGCACTCACGGAAGCCCTGGTTCATTCTCCCACACAGACCTCGGCCTGGCCAAGGCCCTACACCTGGGTCCCCGTTGGGAAGCCCAGACTCTCCGTGCGCCCCCGAGTTGTCACTCGGTCCCCAAGGTAAGCACCTGAACCCCAGGAGCAGGACAGATGCCCGACATGGTCAGGCCGAGGGCACAGCATCTGCTGGCGTCAGAGTGACCCCAAGCTCTCGTGTCGGCCGTGAGTGGAGCAGGGGGACGTGGAGGGCCGGGCGGAGAAAGACCGAGATGGAGGCGGGCTGAAGGAGTTGGCGTTCACCCGGGCGGGCCACAGAACCACGTGAGCTCGTTCAGGGAACATGAAGCAAGTCCTCCGACCGAACTGGAGTTAACCAGAGCTCGACGCCAGCAAGGCAGCCGGGAAACTAACCCGCACAGCCCTCGGCGACCTACTTGCCGGCAGAGAGGCAGCCTCGACGGGGGTCGAACACGCTGCGTGGCCGGGGAAACGCTCCGTGGGCACCGCCCCGCGCCCCACCCGGCCTGGGATTCATCGCAACTCCGGTGACCGCAGCACGCCTCTGGCAACGAGCTGACTTTAAAATTTCTATGGCCCTGGCTGCTGTGGCTCAGAGGTTAGCACGCCGGCCTGTCCACCAAAGGGCCTCGGGTTCGATTCCTGCCCGTCAAGGGCACGCACCTGGGTTGCAGGTTCGATCCCCGAGTGCAGGAGGCAACCAATCGATGTGTGTCTCTCACGTCGATGTTTCTCCCTCCGCCCCTTCCGCTCTCTATAATCAATGGGAAAAGTATCCTCAGGTGAGAATTAAAAAGAAAGAAAAAGAAAAACTTCTACGAAAAGGCAAAGGAGCCAGAACAGAGAAAACTCTGAGACAAGGAGAGCGAGGTGAGCTGGGGCCTCCCCGGAGACGTGCCGGGAAGCCAGGGACCGCGACGGGACGCTGACAAGGGCACGGCGCCCAGGCTACCAGAACGGAAGCGCGATGCCGTCGACTTCATCGGAACTTAAAGCCTCGCTCTGCGGCGAACACCGTTAAGGGGGGAAAGACGAGCGAGCGAGAGGGGAGGGGACGTTTGCAAGTCACGTATCTGAAGACGGGCTTTACCCAGAATATATAAAGAACGGTCGAAACTCAACAACTTTAAATCAACAGCCCAACAGAGGACAGACGGACGGGGCCAGAGGGGAGGGGCTGGGGCGGGGAGGAAAGGCGAAGGTCGAGCAGCAGTGGGTGGTCACGAGCGCGGGGACGCGAGGCACAGGACGGAGCAGGAAGGAACACGTGCAGCGACGCAGGGCGCCAGGCGCGGCTGGCAACACCGGGACGCTCTGTAAGGACGGGTGTCTAACCACGCGCAGGACCCCTGGAGCTAATACAAAGTAACCCTGAGTGTCAACTGTAACTGCAGAAAGACTTTAAGTTAAAAAAAGAAACGGACAGACGTGAACAGACACTTCACCCAAAAAGACACATTGTTACTCATCAGGGAATCAGGTCAGCGCCAGAGGCCACCACGCCTCCTACAGGCTGACACCAAACACAGACCCCCAGGCCGCGTGGGGGGCCGCCCGAGCGCCAGGCGGCACCGCGTCTTGGCCCGTGCAGGTGCCATCAGGCTGGGCAGAGCTGAAGGCGGAGGCCCGGGGCAGGGCTGGTGGGTGACGCCCAGGGGCTGTGGGGGTGCTGGTCTCGGGTGGAACCACCCAGGGCACTCAGATCAGCTGCAGACAAACTCAGGGCGGGTTGAATTTTACCACGTATGACTTTTAAAAGGTAATTTTTCAGAAGTTAGAGAAGCCACAGACCTAAGGGGCACCTCAACCGACAGCCCACACGGCCACGGGTGACGTCCTGGGGTCCGTCCTTCCTACGGCTCAGTGGCGCCACGGTGCAGACGGGCCACGCCAGGTTGTTCCTCCTCGTGGACACTGGGTGGCGGCCTCGTCTCAGCTGCTGAGACGGGCGCTGCTGCGGCCACGGGTGCGGATGTCTCCTGGAGGCCCTGCTTTCCCTTCTCCCGGGACACACAGCAGAGGGGGCTGCTGGGCCGCACGGCCGCACTGCGCCTCGTTTTGAGGACGCCCCACTGTTTCCACTGGGCTAAACCATGTCACACTCACCAGGGTTCGGTCTTAACTTTTTTTTTAATCCTCACCTGAGGGTATTTTCCCATTGCTTTTCAGAGAGAGTGGAAGGGAGAGACATCCATGTGAGAGAGAAACACCGGTTGGTTGCCTTCTGCTTGTGCACCAACCGGGGCCGGGGATGGAGCCTGCAACTGAGGTCCATGCCCTTGGCTGGAATCGAACTCGGGACCCTTCAATCTGTGGGCTGACAGTCCAACCACTGGGCCAAACTGGCCAGGGCACTTTTAACTGTTGATTAAAAACTTACTAAGAGGAGTTTTCCCCAAACAGGGCTCCACAACTCAGAGGGCAAGCAGGTCTGTCTCCCCCGACCGCGCCCCAGGCGCCCCAGGCCCGAGTGTGCACGGGGACAAGTGGGCCTTCGCTCGCTCGCTCCTTCGCTGGGCAGAGAGCGACTCTAACTCCTCCAAGGACTGAAACGTGGACGTCAGTGAGCGAAGCCAGAGACCACGCAGGGACGCAGAAACGTGGCCGCAGGGCCAACAGCAGACACAGGGCCGACATCCTGAGAACAAAGGCCCTTAGAGAAGCGCAAGAGGACAATCGACCCACAGAACCGAGGGGCAGCCACAGAGGCACTGCCCCCACCTGCATGGCCTCAGGCCGCCCACAGCGAGGGACGGCCAGGCCTGCTGTCTTGCCATCCTGGGGCCCTTCCTGTGTTGGCAGCACAGGGTGCAGGCCGGACACGCGTGACTCCCGCTCACCTGCCTGGCTGGTGCCCGGGGATCTAGAACGCCCTGCCCCATGGTCGTGGCTTGTCTTCATTGGGGCAAACACATGACATAAAGCTGACGACCTGAACCCCCGTAACAAGGGCAGGGCAGGGGCATTTAGTCCGCTCATGAGGTGAGCAGCCATCGCCTCCAATTGCAGAACATTTTATTCACCCGCTTGGCCACCGCCCCCTCTCCCACCCCGGCAGGCACCCAGCCTGCCCGCTGCTGTCCTTGGCCTGAGGGACCGCTCAGCACGTGCCTCCCTCCCCAGCAGCACGGGTTCCAGCCTCGCCCGCCTCGCCCCTGTGGTGGGTGTCGGGGCGTCTTCCGTTTGAGGCCGAGCCCCTCTCCACTCTGGGCAGAGCCGAGCCACCTGCTGGAGCACTTCCCCACTACGCCGCCCCGGAGTGGGCAGCCCTGGGCAGCCGTGACCGAGGCTGCTGTGAACACTCCTGCACAGGTTCTGCCCGGGCCCCTGTCCCCATGCTTTCGAAAGAGCAATTTGCGGGGCCACCTGCTGACTGCGTAACAGGCTGAGGGGCTGCAGGCTGCTTCCCCCCCTCCCAGCAGCCACCACTTCAATGTCACTGGCAATGCTCAGCAGGAGGCCTGGCACGCCCAGCATGTGGGCGAAGAGGGGCACTGGCCGGGCCTGCCCCCCCCCCCATGCAGTGCTGGGCCCCGGCTGGCCCCGTGAGGAGAGCACTGACTTCTGCTGCTTTCCACCAAGGACAAGGGACACAGGACACGGGGCCTCTGGTCCCAAACATGCTGTGTGTCCTGTGGGAGGGAGAACTGAGGGGCCTTTTGTCCCCAGGGCTGACCCGTTTGTGCCATCGCGAGTCTGTCCTAGTGGGAGTTGGGGCTCTGAGGTGGCAGCTGGCCAGGTGGCCCTACACCCTGTCCGCCTCCTGGAGGCCGCGGCCCAGGAAGAGGCCTAGGGCAGGGCAGAGGGGCACCCCCACAGCCACTGCCCAGGCTCCAGGCGTGCATCCTTCAGCAGCCATCTGCCCGGCCTGGGCCTGCAGTGGCGCTGCAGAGGTGAGGGCTCTAGTCCTGCCCACATCCTGAGCGCTGGTCACCTTTCTCCGGGGCCTGGGGCAGCTGCCAACTCTCACTGGCCCAGCTCAGCTTTCTCTGGTGTCTGAGCCTTATCTGGACACGGCTGCTTCCTGCTAATCAGGAGAGAAGGTCAGAGGTGCCTTCTCAGTGTCCCCGCTGGCCAGCGTGTGGGCCGGTGGCTCCTGCAGGAGGTGAGGGGCAGACAAGGGCTCATCTGGGAAGCCTGGGACCCCCTGGAAGGGGCAGGGAGAGGAGGTGGGGAGCTCTGAGCCGACCTCCCAGGCCCAGCAGAGGCCAGCCCCCCTCAGGGGACAAGGCACAGGAGGAGGGGTGGAGGAGCCAGTCCTGGCGGGGAAGGGGCCAGGAGAATGGAGGGGCCAGGTGCCCACCAGAGGCCAGGTCAGCCCGGCACTCACGTGTGTCTGTGAGGGACGGGCTCCCAGGGACTGTGGACGATGCTGGAAAACGCCACCA